ATTAACTACAATTATACCCCGTGATGGTTGCTGAATTTGATTTTCCAATTTATTTATGATGTAAAAATTGACTGACATTTGAAAGACTTTTTTTATGTGACTAAGTAACAGTGATATTTATAGTAGTACATATACATATCACAAATTACCGAGTGAAATAACCAGTTATGAAACATTAAAACTTTGGAAAACTCGGAATGGTATAAATGTTAATACAGTATGGAGAGAGAAAATAATGATACCAATCACAAAGAATCTTTTATATCTTTATTAGCTAATAATAACGAGACATCAAAACGAGGAAAGCAATTCGATGACACGTAAGTTTATGACTTAACATTATTTATTAATTTCGACAAGCACAAGTTAAAAAGTGGTCTTTAAGTCGAAAAAAATCCTCTATTATTACCTTAATCAGAATATCAGTGAAACAACTTACATGTAAGTCTTAGATATCACAGCACATATTTAAACATACATTATGCAAGAGCTAAATCTGCATATTGCAGGTCTTTCTTTAGGCCTGAAAAGTTATCTAAATTATTAATTAGACATTAATTAACTTATCTAGACCACATTCAACTTACGATGCGATATTTACTGGATTAGGATCTGATCTGCTGCTCTAGGCTCATTCATGATTAAATCAAGAAATGGATAATCGAGACTATGTATTTTATCGCACCGACTTTAGTAATGATGATCGAAGCTAGACCCAAAATTCAATTGCTACATTCTCGGTTCAGAGTGGATCAATTTTACTGAAATTTTCAGCAAATTCCCTTTAGATTATCTAGTTTTTAACTATTATAGTGAGAACTGTTAGCTCTTTATCTAATCTCTCATAATGTATCTTTAAATTATAGAAAATATGATCATAAATTCAAAGGAAGATCAGAAACTTCAAAAATCAATTTAATTTAAATTGACTATAGACCTATTTGAATTAGTCCAAAATAAAACTTGATTATACATTGATTTGTTTTGTTTGTTTAAGATTTCACATTTATAGATAAAGCTGGTGTTAAGATATAACTGATTTTGAGTTCCACTGTTGACACAGTAAACCAAAATTTAAACTGAACTTAGTAAATAAATTGATTTGTACTTAAATTTTTATAAAAGGAATTCAATGGTATGTTGGCCTATCATTAATAGAAATAACACATTACATCAACACAAATTAATACTTTACTTTAGCTCTTTCAGTAAAATGAATTGTAAAAAATGTCTATTAATTGTCTTAAGTGTTACATGTTATGCATAGTATTTAGAATTTAATTATTCTATGAAATAAAATTCAAAATTTCAGTGATTTGGAAAAATTTGTAACTTTTTGTGATTTGGAAAAATTTGAAAATAGTGCAAAATAATTTGATAGCATACCCGCCTTAACTTCTGTCTTGGTTATCCTTGAATATTCTGACAAAATTAACATCTTTAAAAAGATTTTCCATATAATCGTGTCCTGGAATAAAAACTTCTACTTTCGTACAAGTCTTGTCAAGTGTGTTGCTGGGGGGGGGGGGGGGTCAGGTATATTTTGGGATTATTTTCAAAAAGGACCGCCTCCTTTTCGCCCCCAATGTATCACTAATTACTACTACTTGAGTAAGAAGTTTATTCGTGACAGTCTTGGAATTATATAATAGAGTTGTGACATCACAGACATTTTCTTAGTGTACACAATACTTTAACCCTATACACTCACTAAAACAGTACAAATGATCATTTTAATCGTGTTACATGTACCATAAGAAAGTTGAGAGCGAAAATTGTTAAGATTTATTCACAGTAGTACACAATGAGAGAGTAAGAGAGAAATGTGGTTTAACATCCACTCGACACAAACTTGGTCATTTCGGGACAAACACATGATTCAATTTTATTTCAATATTCCCTTGCACGTAGGGGTCTTTAGCAGTGGGAGGTAAACGGAGCGCCCGGAGAAAACCCACATGGTTGGACAGGCGACCCTACTCCTTGTCACATACAACCGGGGAATCGAAACCATGCCAGTTGACTCAATGACAGACCTTTTGATACAGTGCGTACGTGCTAACCATTCAGCCCCCCCCCCCTTAGTACACAATGAATGAGTACCGGTAAGTAGATATGGTTAAAATATATTTACTGACAGTAGAACATCAGCCTAGGGATGAGTATTAGAAGTACCAATTGGTTAAGACAAATCTGTAATCAGCAACCTGAATTCGATCCATTGTCCAGTACAAATCTCCTTGTGCTGGTCAGTTTATCTAGTACAAATTTGTTTTTACTTTTTAATACACGTGCAACACAAAATTGATAGTTACAATTTCAATATAGCGCCCGACTTTTTGTGACAGTCAACAAAAACAAACTATTACAAATCTAGCGACATAAAATTGTAATTTAATTTCATCTGTATCTTACAATGGATTCAGACTGCATCATTAATGTCACTGAGTGTACATAAAGATGAACTATACTGTAAATATAATGGAATAATGAAAACAAAACATAATTCCTGTTTAAGTTTTTCTTCCTAATTGTCGACATACAGTTATCTGCCTTTTCTCAAATGGTTCTAGTGTATTCTTTATTCATTTAGTAACAATTAATAGACCTTATTATATTGGGTCTATGCACCAATAGTAACCATAGCAAGGATCTTATATTATATTGGGTCCATGTAGACCTTATTATATTGGGTCTATGTACATTTAGTAAACATGGACCTCGTTATATTGAATCCATGTAGAAACTAAATCTTTAAGGTACTGATTGTAAGTATATTGGAATCAAAAGAATGTATAAAATCATTTTATAAAATTATTTTGAAAATAAACCAGATAACATAAGATCAATATTTCAATACACATTAATTTAGTCCAAACCAATTTAATTTGTTATTCTCTAGGGCCTTGGTATATAAATAGTTACTGGAGTCTAGTGAACAATATTCTGTTTAATATTTCAAAACTTTTTAACTAAATTGAGAAAAGCATGCAACTAAACCAGTCTTTCTACCCCGAACAAATAGGAAGCAAATCATTAACAGGTATTTCCAAAGAACAAAAATTCAAATTATTGTTGCCTAATAGATATTAAATGCAGGGTCGTGGTGGCCCCAGTTGGGCGTGCGAAGCCCGGCCCTCGGTGGGCGGACTGACGGGCAATCAATCAAGTCACCAACCGGCTCGTGTCAGAGTAAATTATGACTGAGATCACTACCATTTTTATTTACGTTTTTCTCCTTTCCCGCGAGAATATATGGGGCAAAAAATTGTTCGCCATCGCAAAAAATAGGGGGGGGGGGGGGGTGCGCAGAGATCTGTCATTATGTGGTACTATGGAATTAAGGAAACATCTGTGCCATATTATTATTCCATTATTATAATTAAATGGTTTGATGCACTCTGATACAACAATAAAACAAGTTTAATGAGGCTTGTTCCTACTAATTACAATATTTTAAAACACATAAAAATATGAATAAACATGAATTAAATTAACATTTTGTTTAATTTGAGTTGCTGTATGAAATAAAACATAAAATTTGTAACAAATGTAAGAGATACGCATGTGGTATCTTAATTTATTCTATAACTGCATGCAAATACAAGGAAATATCATTGAATATATACAGCCATTGAATAATCTATGGTTGTATTCAATGGCTTGTACACATACTACTTTCGTCCAGAATGACGTCATTTTCAGAATTACGTCAAACTGTTATGATGTCACCACTAGCAACCACAATATTTGTAAAAAGGAAAGAAAACAGGGCGGAACCTATGATGAAGTTTAATGTTATTGGTGAAGATTTTTTTTGATAATCTAGATAGTACAGTGTATTTTGAGATTTGCATGTAGCTATAGAAAAAAAACAGAAATTGATGACCATTGAATACCGTGCGGGCAGGGATACACTCTCTTGAACCATTGAATAACCCGAATGGTATTCAGTGGTCATTGAGTTCTATCTATGTATTCTGTATTAATACAAGTAAAAATACACAAGTATATATAGTTTATCTTGAATATCCTAATCACAAGTCGAATACCTTACTTAAGTTGAATTTCTGAAAGATCTCTACTGATGTCAACATAATCCGAATGCTGTCATCGACACCCTCTTGCTACTGTACATGTATATATAACACATATTCATGGACCATTATCAAAATAAGACTTTCTTTGATAAGATCACAGTCAAATTCCTTGTAAACAAATGGTATTAAATATTGTAGTTAAACGGTTGTTGCCAGTAATTGTTAATGACAGTTGATGACAGATAAATATCATCAGTAGATAACACTTATCTGGCTGGAATTTACTCTAATCTGGCCCATAATTTGTAGAACTGTTCAGAAGAGAGAGAGAGAGAGAGAGAGAGAGAGAGAGGGGGGTAACGTCCATTAGGTCATTTCAGGGCTAACACATGGTTCAATGTTACTTCAATAATTCGCTTGCATGTAGGGGTCTTTAGCAGTGGGAGGAAACCAGAGGGCCTGGGGAGAAAACCCATGAGGATGGACAGGCGACCCTACTCCTTGTCACGTACAACCCGGGAATCGAAACCAGTACGCCAGTTGATCAATGACAGACCTTATGATACAGCGCGCACGTGCTAACCATTCCACCCCCCACCCAACCCTGTTCTGAAGAAAATATTTATCAGAGAGTATGACATATATTGTATAGAAGATGATGTAGGAACCAAATACCAAATGGTTTTTGTAAATTAAAAAAAAAAACATTCCGACAAACTATTCAAATCCATCAAGAGGTGACCAATTTACAGAGCATTCTTTCTTATGTACAATGGGTTCTTGCTGGTTTTCTTGTTTTTTGGGTGGGGTATGTTGCGTTAGATTTTTTTGATTGATATTCACATTATGTATCTTAAAGTGGTTGTGTATATAAATAAGACACCTACATTACCATCATGTATTTTCAGAAATAAATATTTGTTATATTTCTGTCATTTCAGGGGCCAGAAATCCGAACATATGAAGTTTTCAAATTTTGGAAGATTTGGTGTATGGAATGATCATTTCAGAATGGTGCATCGCAACACTGGGCGCCATCAAACAGTACTTTCACTGGTGGCGGAACTTGGATCGGAAAGTAACGCTCATGGTTTGGCTCGAGTTGTGACTTCCAGAGATACGAAACGTAAAGTGATTTGGGCCTTATTAGTTATTATTGGTTTCACTGCTGCTACCCTTCAGTTGTCTTTATTAGTTCGTAAATATCTTCAGTTTCAAGTTGTGGAAGTTTCAGAAATCAAAGACAGTATGCCTGTTGAGTTTCCGTCTGTGACAGTGTGTAATATCGAGCCCATATCGTTACGGAAGTTACGTATAATGATAAACAACTCGGACAGTGATTTAATGCAGTGGTTACAATTTCTAGGTGAGTTTCAGTTCGGTCCGCAACAGGCTCATTTAACATCTATACGAGCCTTTTACGAAAATCTTGGCGATGCTGCGGAATATCTGAGTCATGACATCAACGATTTTATGATACATTGTCGTTTTAATCAGGAATTGTGTTCAGTGTCGAATTTCACAAGTTTTTTTGATGGAAATTATTATAGCTGTTTTACATTTAATAGTGGTGCCGTGGAAAAGCTATTGATGCATGCCACCGGTCCTCAAAATGGATTATCTTTAATAATATCATTGGATAATGATGATCCGCCTTATGGAACATATGGAATGTATCATATTGGTTCAAACATATTGCATAGTGCCGGAGTACGTGTTGTGGTTCATGCGCCAAACACTATGCCCAGTCCCGTAAACCATGGTTTCGACGTCCCCCCAGGATATTCTTCTTCTATAGGATTAAACGCTGTCATGCACACGCGACTTTCACAGCCTTTTGGAAATTGTACCAACAAAAGATTAGACGGATATAAAACTTATCGGAATACATTTTTCTCTTGCCTTCAGTTGTGTCAACAGCGAATTATAATACGCGAGTGTAAATGTAAATCATCGAGTTTACCGGAAGTAGCAGAGACAAATATATCATTTTGTGGTGTTATTCCTAATTGGAAAGATATTCTAAACAATTCAGCGAAATACAAGGATAAACAAATAACGGTGCCGAGTTTAGCGTGTGAAGAAAAGCATTTAGTGAAAATGGCCAACGACAGAAGTTATGAATCAACATGTAGATGTTTTCAACCGTGTGATGAAACAACGTATCAAAAGGCTGTGTCCTTGTCGTATTGGCCGCTTGAATTCTACCAACTTCACGCTCTTCAGTTGTTCTACGGCAAGACAATCAAGCAAAGCTTCATGCACGAAGCTTATACATATTTGGCTAAGTTAGGAAATCTGGATCACTCGATGGATCCAAACGACACAAGACGTATTGAAATTTTACAACAGAGTTATAATCTCAGTGATAAAGAACAGGCCGAACGGGCTTCCAATTTAATCAGACAAAACCTACTCAGACTCAATGTTTATCTAGAAGATCTGAGTGTAGTGGAATTTCGCCAAATGCCAGCTTACGGCTTGGCAGACTTATTTGCCGATATCGGTGGAACTCTTGGACTATGGATGGGAATCTCTGTATTGACGATCATGGAATTGATAGAACTGATCATACGACTATTCTTACTTTTATTTAACTCAGAAAAGAAAAAGCCAGAGGACCCTGTCTCTAATGGTATGCTTAGTGAACATGAAAAAGATTATGATTATGAACAAAGAATTGAATCTCCTGTATGACCCCTAAAAAAAATATAAATCTGGACAAACTACTTATGAAATAAATTTCTTGAAAAACCACTGAGAAGAGTACATGAATAATTCGGTAAGATTGACCTTAAAAACAAAATATTCTAGACAAAATGTGTTTGAAATAAATATCTTTAAAAACAGCAGAGATGGGTATTGTGTGTTGAGTATTAGCTATGATTGATCTAAAAGGAGTGACATAAAAATGTTTTAATGTGCTGGTGCTGCAGGTCAGGAGAACCATAATAATTCAGTAAGAATGAGAGTAAGCCCAAAATATACCAGACAAAATATGTTTGAAATAAAAATCTTTAAAAACAAAGGAGATGGCCCTTACTCCTCAGATGGGTATTGTACATGTACATGAATATTGTGTAAGTCATAGATATGAACGATCCAAAAGAAGTGACATAACAAAAGTTTAAATGTGCTGATGATGCAGGTCAGAAGAACCATAATAATTCAGTAAGAATGAGAGTAAGCCCAAAATATACCACACAAAATATGTTTGAAATAAAAATCTTTAAAAACAAAGGAGATGGCCCTCATTCCTCAGATGGGTATTGTACATGAATATTGTGTAAGTCATAGATATGAACGATCCAAAAGAAGTGACATAACAAAAGTTTAAATGTGCTGATGCTGCAGGTCAGAAGAACCATAATAATTCAGTAAGAATGAGAGTAAGCCCAAAATATACCAGACAAAATATGTTTGAAATAAAAATCTTTAAAAACAAAGGAGATGGCCCTCATTCCTCAGATGGGTATTATACATGAATATTGTGTTAAGTCATAGCTATGAAGGATCCAAAAGAAGTGACATAAAAAAAAAGCTTAAAAGCTGGTGGTGCTTCAGGAGAACCATAATAATTTGGGAATAATAAGAGTAAGAACAAAATATTCCAGACAAAATACATTTGAAATAAATATCTTTCAAAATAATTGTATTGATGAGTACATGATTATTGTGTGTTGAGTACTTGCAATGATCGATTCTAAAGGAGTGAAATACAAGGTTTAAATGTTCTGGTGATGCTGCAGAAGAATCATAACTTGGTAAGAAGGGTTGGTGTAGACACGGTCTACCCTAAAGTTGTCTTTCTGGTAACCCTAATTAAAGAACTGTATCTGTCTTTTTTATATAAAGGATAGAACATTAAGGAGTAAAATAAAAGGTTTAAATGTTCTGGTGATGCTGCAGAAGAATCATAACTTGGTAAGAAGGATTGGTGTAGACATGGTCTACCCTAAAAGTTGTCTTTCTGGTAACCCTAATTACAAAACTGTATCTGGGTTTTGTATATTAAGGATAGAACATTAAGGAGTAAAATAAAAGGTTTAAATGTTCTGGTGATGCTGCAGAAGAACCATAACTTGGTAAGAAGGGTTGTTATTCTGGTAACCCTAATTAAAAAACTGTATGTGGGGTTTTGAATATTAAGGATAGAACATTAAGGAATGCATGAAACTAAGCTTATATTTTCATTTAAATGAGAGATCAGATAATTTGACAAGTTGCCTACCGCTGGACAATTTACATGTTGGTGTAAAGTACAAGTGCTGCACTGTAAATAATAATTTTTGTTGTATGTGATAAAATGTTGGGCACTATTGAAGTTGTATCTGACATCATTAATTTTGTGCTGGCTGTGTATTAAAAAGATGAATAAAAAACTGAAACAAGACATACATTGTGCCAGAAGAATTGTGCCTGACAAAAGTTTGCATTTGTCTCTGACAATGTCTGTGACAGGTCACTTACTTTCAGACTTGATTTAGTGAAATCGAATTGGAAGTTGTATGTACATGTATACAGAGAGAGTGAGAGAGAAATGGGGTTTAACATCCACCCGACACAAACTAGGTCATTTCTGGACTAACATATGGTTTAATTTTATTTCAATAATTCGCTTGCGTGTAGGTGTCTTTAGCAGTGGGAGGAAACTGGAGGACCCGGAGAAAACCCACGAGGTTGGACATGTATACAGCATTCAAGAAAGAGTAACAGCATAACACCCATTGACAATTACAACTAATGGACAGTGATCAGTTTTTGTCTTAACTACTGATTATTGAAGAACAGTTTTCTAAAGCACTGTTGGTTGTTAGATTGGCAGTAGAAATTTACTCAAAAGAAAAGATCTGACATAGGAAATATTTAATAACACTAGTTAAAGATGCATTATATAAAGAGGTGGTCATTGTTGCAGTTCAAAAATAGATAATGAAAAATGAATATATTGAAAATTTAATTCAAATTACTTTATTCTGAATAAAGTTATGACTGTTTGAAGATGTAGCGCAGATCATTTAGCATCTTATCAAGGGTACTTGCCAACTAAGACTAGGTCATTATTAACATTTTATCGTTAAATATTTATATCTTGAGGGTGTTCTAATCCATTAAAACTCTGCCATCTGATGTTCTAGAGAGTATATAGGCTTGTCATGTGATTAAATGTCTAAATAATAATTTATAAAAGATTTGAAGCCAGAAAATAGACCTGACTGCAATAGGCCGATTTAGCTCTTACATAATGCATCTTTAAAAGCAATTAATGTGATCAGTTTTTTGTCTCCTATAGGAAAAAATATTTTTTCAATACAATGCAATAAACTGGTTTTAAAAAATGTGCAAAAGCACCAAAAACAATGCAAATAATGATTACCTAAACTGAAATGAATATTTATATAACTTTGAAACAAAGGCTTGGAATATATGATTAGTCCATGTTGCCATGATCTCAGATAACGGGCTATACTATATACCGGAAAACACAGGAAAACAACCGAAAACTACCAAAAAACACCATGTTATACTGAATACCGGAAAACACCTGAAAAACACTAAATACCGGAAAACACACTAAATACCGGAAAACACACTAAATACCGGAAAACACACTAAATACCGGAAACCACCCTAAATAGGTAACCCGGAGAAGGGCTATACTATAAACCGGAAACTAACCCTAACCATAACCAGGCTCCAGGTTACCTATTTAGGGTATTTTCCGGTATTTAGTGTGTTTTCCGGTATTTAGTGTGTTTTCCGGTATTTAGTGTTTTTCCGGTATTCAGTATAAAATGGTGTTTTCCAGTTGTTTTCCGGTGTTTTCCGGTATATAGTATTGCCGTCAGATAACACATAACATATTGTCGCGTTTGAATCTCTTAAAGATTCTATTAGAAATCTATAATGATAAATTGACTGTTCCCTTCCAGTCATAAATTCAGTCTACCAGGTCTCTCAAATACCATACATTTAATTTGAAAACACTTCAGCTTAGTCTGACAAGAGTGATTGGGTGATATTGCTACATAAATTTATTCTCCAGTATTTAAAGCGGAAGTCTGGTCACTCCAATCCAAGATGTCTCCAAACAAATTAACGTTTTATTGAGATATATGTATCTTGCGATTGGATGAGGTGGAAAATGACCTTCACCTTATAATGTTGTGTTGAGACAACAATCCTGTAGATGCTTGCTTGAGTTGTCATTTAAAAACTAAAAGTATTTTTTTCTATTTCTGAAATTTTGATTTTAAAAAGTTGGTATGTCAAGGTAAATCGCTATTATATTTTCAGGCCCCCTTTAATTTGCAGACCCTGTGATTTCCGTCCCATCCGAACGACTAGACAACTGTCCTTGTCAGGCCCTCCGCCCTGCATCACTGACAAGGGGAACCAAGCCGGAAAATCTGGATGAACTTTCTTGGCCAATGCAGGGATCGAACACCCGACCTCCAGGCTAGCGAGCCAGCATCTTACCCACTTAGCCACCATGAACCCTATGACACAAGAAATCTGGAAGTATATGGTGATGTGTAATAAAGGCCAGACATTTGCCATATAAATAAAATAACACACTTTTACACTGATATTTATGTTAAAATTTACCCACTATAAAACTTAAGGATATTCAAAGATTAGTCCCCCCCCCCCCCAGGATTCCAAGATTACTTGAACTTTCCAGTTGATCCAGGAATTTCAAGATCCCCTGGAACCAAGAATAACCTCAATGCAAAATATAGCAGTATCACACATTAAGTAAATTACTAAAGAGATGGGGAGATAGCCACTTTAAGATAATATAGATCTTATAAAAAACACAATTTATATGGAAAACAATCACTGGTTTGTACACATATATAGCACAAAGTTTCGACAAGTCTTATCTATATCCAGCACAAATAATAAAATTAAAAAAGAAATAGGGAGATAGTCACTTTAAGTTAATATCAGATCTTTTAAGTTTAAGTATTAAGAGATACAGACATTTCTACTTAATATCTTTATAAATAATAGAAGTGAAATCTAGTCTTGACTGTTTATTTTTTTATTAAGATATATTCTATTCGCGTGATTGAATCAATATATCATCAAACATTGTCTCGATATAAGACAAGTCTTTATTTCATAACATCTATTTGTTACTAAAAATCTCAGGCATATGTGGATATCATTAAATTATGTGGCATCTTTTTTCTTCAGGATGAAAATAGTAACATCTCTTTTTTTAGACAATATGTCAGTTCAGGATCTGCTGTATACAATTATGTAGAATTTTGTGTACAAGTTTAAAATAGTAACCTTTAAGTAGGGCTGATTGCTCCATGACAGAAAGCCACCTCAGGCCCCCATCCCTGTGATTGAATTTTGATTTGTGACATCCTCGATACATAAAGAGCAATAACAATCAACAATATTCAAAGGTTATTTATTTCAAATTATTCCATTTAATCCTCCAAATTTCCTAGAATTATGTTGTATAATTTGACACTGCTATAATGAATCATGCAATCAAATTGTGAAAAATCTGTGTTTTTTTAAATAACTTGTGCATTTTGTTTTTTAAATCAAACACAAATAGTGTATAACAAATATATTGAAACTTTGAGAATCAATTTATAATTTCTAGTTTTAATAATTATATGGCCTTCAATGGATTTCTTAAGTTGACTGGATTGTTAAACTTACCATCAAAATTACCACATGATGTTATTTAAATTTGATATTTACCAGATACATGCATTACTTGGGGGGAGCCACGGTGGCTCAGTGAGTAAGATGCTGGCTCGCTAATCTGGAGGTCTCGGCTTCGCTCCCAGTGAGGGCCGAGAAAGTGAACACAT